TATATATATGTTGTGTTGTCAAAGTAAGAGAAACAATTGAGACCCTGCAATTGTGTGTAAATGAGGCAAAAAGTCAGATCAGCAACCTGGAACTTGGTCACAATTTTTGTGATGCCATATGGCAGCAGGGTCTACCATTAGACACCACATTATGCTTCCAATATCTTTCCAGGCAGTAGTACCTACCTGTTTGGTTAGCTGCCTACTAACAGTAACATTTGTCCCATAGCTTGACCCACCACTTTACTTTTAAATTTTCTACATTTAACACAACTTTCAATTGTGGATTTAATTATCCTCCATGACTGATACCCAAAACTTTGATTGTATCTTGGTTAAACAAACTTAATCCCTGCATGATCATTACAGGATGATGAATGTGCTGAACATAGATTCTTGTAAACTGATGATTGTTTGATAGAACAACAAACCTATTTTGGTTCCAGTTATCCTTCAGCTATTTAGCAATACTATTCGTATCTATATCTGGTCCTAAGTGTTTATACCTAATTTTCCAGTCATTACCTAAAGACAACTGTACTTCTTTGATCAATATTATTTCTGCCTTTTCTATTAATTCAGCACAATATTAATAAAATATTCCTTTTGTAGTCCTGTCCTAGCAAAAGTTCTCAATAGCTTAGAGTAACTACCGATTCTGTACAAATTTATTAAACCCAAATTTTTATTTCTGAGTCACCTTACATTATGGGGTAACATGGATTCTATCAAGAGGTTCCTTGTCACATGACTTGTTAATGGGCCACAAATCCAAGAGCTGTGTTGAATAATCTGGACCTTTCTGCCACACTGAATCGTAATCTAGCTGATGAGGGTGACAGACTTTAGTAGTCAAGTCTGCAGGATTACAGTTAGTGCATCACAGAAGCAAATTTCCAATCCATTTCCATCTCACTTGACTCTCTCAATCTTCTGGCAAGAATTGCACCACGAAGGTTTAGTCTGGATACTGTCAATTGTTTAGTGGTAGCTATCCTATTCTTAGCAGCTAAGAGCCTGCTGTAAAAATCATCCTTCAGTTAACTCCCACCTGATGTATGCACATGCGCCATAAATTTTCCTGCTTGCATATGAGGAAAGGATTAACATTGGCATTCCCACTGCATCTTCTGGTTGCAAACATCTAATGAACTTCAACCATTCTAAACTCTACATATTCTTAAACAATGTCATTCATCTCTGATACATCCAGTCAGGTATGGGATCATCCCAACCTAAATTTCACTCTTTACCGTCCTTCACTATCTTGACTTCAGAAATAATTTCCTGCATCAGAATTTTGGCCTGCACAGTGAACGGTACAATTAGACCAAGTGGATCTTATTAGATGTGGTTTGACTCGGCACCATACATTTGTTAAGTAGTCTTGGTTAAGCAAAATCAATATCTGACAACTCTAAATTAGGTCCATTATGTACTTTCTTACATTTATGGGAAAAATTAATTTGAACTGTAAAAGTGAACAGATCCTCCTTGGGTTCCCAACATAACCCCAAAACTTTCTCTCTCTTAGTATGTACTGTATGATGTTAACTTGCTCACTGACAACCGTATTTTCACCTGATATTACCCGGTGTTTTATCCTAAACCCCATGTTAAGTATGTTCTCTCTTTCTTGAATCAAAGTCATAACTTCAGTCACACTTTCAACAGACTGTATGATATCATCAACATTGGAGTTTCTAAGAATCATTTTAGCATTTCTGCATTACGACATAATGAAACCACTGAAATTGCCCCGCTGGGTTGGCCTTCAAAAGTCGTTGTTGTCAGGACGTAATGATCAGGTGGTCTATTCACTTTCATGTCACACAAGACAAATCTATGAGTGTGCTGGTCAAGTATGTAAATTCAAATACATTTGTACTTTTTGGCAAGATATAAATACGATTCTCATGGGTGGGCTTACGGAGTCTGGCTTCAACACTTCATGGTGAAGTATATAATGAATTGGCCCTTTATAGTCCTACACTTCATTGTGTTCAGGTTTCCTGAACACATTCCTAATCTTGATAAGCCTCCATGTACTCTGTTCCTAGTTTACTGAGTCTCCTTTCCATAGAAACATTATTGGAAGGCTCACTGGATTCTTTCATCCATGGATACTGGACAACCCACTGTCTACTTTCTAGATATGCTAGGTCTCACCATTTGGTCTAATATATCATGGAAGCCACACATCCACAACATTGCTAAAGCTGCCTCCTGAAAGCTGAGAATGCTGTACAGATGCCGTAGCTACTTCACTCCTGAGGCAATTGCTTCAAGTTTATAAGGGATTCATTCGTCCTAACTTCAAGTATTGCTCTCATATCTGGGGTGACTTTTCTTCTGTCCAACTGTTAGGTAGGGTGGAATCAAAGGCATTTAGTCTTATTGACTCTGTTCCTTAAGTTGATAATCTTTCTTCACTTTCTCTTGCCTCAATGTTGCTTCATTCTCTCTCTTTTACAGGTACTTTAACTGGCAATCTTCGGTGGATTTGGCATCCTGTGTGCCGTCGGCAAGGCCGTGGGCTCGTAACACTCGTCTTGCCCGCGGTGCCCACAGTTCCTCTGTGGCTGTCGGTCACACTAGAATAACCCGTTATAGTACCTCCTTCTTTCCTCACACAGCCAAACTGTGGAATGCTCTGCCTTCTTCTCTGTTTTCATACTCCTACAATCTGTCTCACTTTAAAAAGCTGGTTTTCCAGCATCTCTGTGGTGTAGATTAATATGGTCTTTTTCTTTTTTCTTTTTTATTTCTTTTTACAGTCAGTTCTCCTATAACGCGATAGTTGTGTTCTTGTAAAATATCGTGTTATAGAGAATCGCGTAATAGAAATAACAGGGCTTATGGAGAAAATAGGGTTAGGTGCAGATTACTACTCGAAATCGAAAAAAAATTAGTAGTTAGCCTAACACAAAGGATAGCACAGTCTAAATAAATGTTACATTCATATCTAATAATGAAATCATACAGTAAATGTAACACTTTACCTTGAAAAAATATGAATATAACTTGATGGGGGAGAAGGGTGATTTTGAGGTTGATAACATCGAGCTGTTAACGCTCATTGGAGCGTTATTGGTTTGTTGCTGGAGAAATAAACCCTCAACGTTGACGCGTACCATATAATTCGGTCAAAACCTGTTGAAGAACAATTCACATATAACAAATGCTGTCATCTCAGGACACATAGAATGAATAATACAATCAATATACAGTACATAGCCTGTTAACATCTTAAGTATAACTCACATGTTACATCTGTTGATACATCAGGAGACAAGTTGTATAATATGATCAAATTACAGTACATTATTATACTTATTAAAGTTATTTAGAGTTTATATTTACGTTTTAGGGTCTTGGGTTCGACCAGCGTGTTGTTTCTTCTGCAAGAATTGGGAGACTACTGAGCAATCGCTATCCAATCGCAGCCCTAGACCTGAAACCCCCGCGAAAAGCCAAAACCGCAAATACTCTTTTAGGAATCACTGTACCTGTGGCCACCAAACAGCTCAGGCAGGTCATGCACTTAACCACGCCGTCCTCTCCACTCACGGCCCAGTGGTCACACTGATCACTGATGCACTGTACCGGCATTTACTAACATCATTATTAGAAACTAATCATATTGTAGTATAATAATGGAAAAACGTAAACACAGTTATATAAAAAAAAAATTATTTACAAGTAAATAAAAAAAATTATATTTCGCTGGTCGGCAACACTCGCATTGCCGGCCTCTCCCTGCTGTCCCGGCGTCTGCCCGCCCTCACACAGTCACGCCAGCCAGCCAGTCCTCTTCCACCCACATTCCTTCACTTGAAGACTTGTATTCTGACAAAAGACAAATGAATTGTCAGTCTTCACCACCTCTCAAGCCATAGCTCATACCACCTCTGAGCTTGTCTAATAAAACTGTTTTTTCCGTTAAGGTCATCACTATTCTTGATCTCTTGGTCGCTTTAAAGTCTTTGCTAGTAATATTTGCCTTTGATGAGGCTGACTTACATCCCGGAGCCATGTGGACAGTAGCGTTCACAGTACGGTAGGCACGTGTGGACTAAGGCTTCTCGGAGCAGCGGGTCTGTTTGCCGCACCGCACAGGGGAATATCGAAAATGGCACAAAATTAAAATTTTTGTTTTTAAAGGATATTTTATATACTGTATACTGTATGCAAGTAAATCACTGTAGGTGCGCGTGATCTAGGTATATGCTGATAATCACAAGGAAAGAAGAAAACACGAAGTTCCCAAGCGCTTTCGTGTAATTCACATCTTCAGGGGTGAGTACAGACTAAAGAGAAATACAAACCAAGGTGTATATATACAGAGGAGGGTGAGACCAGGTCCACAATGGTCAGGTATTAGGTAATGACCCTTCTAATCTTTAAATAGCGCACAACGGTTGGTGGTCAGGTCAGATGGTCAGGTGACCCGACCTTCTCACCTGGTTACAAATCTTCTTAATTACAAAATTGTCCAGCTTGTACATGCCGTTACTCAAATTCATGTTGAATGCTTCGGTATGTTTAATAAGACTAGATTCTATTATTTTTGTGAAATGGTAATATTAAGATATTCTTATGGTCATGGGTGGGCTTGGGATCAGTTCTATTTGAGTAACGGCATGTACAAGCTGGACAATTTTGTAATTAAAGATTATATTTTTCAACAGAAATGCATATATATATATAATTTTTTAGTAAAAAAAACGCGAATGGTCAAAACCGCGATAAAAAACCCGTGAAAAACACGGGATTACTGTACTAGGGTCTTTACAGGAACCCTGCTCCCATCCCTCTGCATCCTCTTGGACAACACATTTCCATAGGCTCCATGTAAATTTGGTGGGTCAAAGTAGCCCAAAGCCCCATTTAGAAAACACTGCCAGTAATTACTGTATAGTATACAATTGAGAATAGCTTCATCGTGTGTTATATGTGGGTGTTTACAGAACAGTTTTAATTTTAATGGATATTTGCAGAATGTATTACTGGAATATCTTGCTGTACACAAGGATTTGGAGGCTGTACTGCACCACACCTTCCTGCAATTACACTCAAGATATACACAATGGACTCAAGATTATAATGCAGGTTAGACATCAGGTTTCCTTATTTTGGGATCTATATCAAATTCACTGCAATCATGTACAGTCAACCCTCACTTTACGCGGTCCCACATTCCGCATTTCCACGGTGCCCTGCCAGAACCCAGGATGCTCACATTCTGCGGTGGGTGTACCCCTTTACGCGGGTGAAGTATAATTTTTTTATTTAGCTCATAAAATTCATACAAATTATCCGGCCAGAATATAATTTACATTGCTGGAATTCTTAAAATTTGATGATCATTTTGAATATAAATATCATAGATTTTGCATTAGACATACAAATTTTAGATATAATGTTTACTCTGAGTAAATATGTTATCTTTTGTGCAAAATATATGACATTTATATTCAAAATATTCCTGGTCTTACAAGGAATCCAGCAATGTCAATTATATTATCCTAACTTTAGTTTGAGGTATTATTTATTACGAAAAAGGTAAATATTCTGGTTTTCCCACACATCTGGTAGGGAGGGTTGGTGGGGGGAGAGGGGGAGGGAGGGACCAACCGACCATCTGGCACGGTGTGAAGAATATTTTTTTTTTTTTATTAACTGAAGATATTTGTTTTAGCTCATAAAATTGATACAAATTACCTGGCCAGAATATAATTTACATTGCTGGAATTCTTACAATTTGATGATCATTTTGAATATAAATATCATAGATTTTGCATTAGACATACAAATTTTAGATATAATGTTTACTCTGAGTAAATATGTTATCTTTTGTGCAAAATATATGACATTTATATTCAAAATATTCCTGGTCTTACAAGGAATCCAGCAATGTCAATTATATTATCCTAACTTTAGTTTGAGGTATTATTTATTACTATACCTGGTTTTCCCCCAAAAATTTCTCAGAGAGGGAAGAGCCACCTAGTGTAGTGTGAGAAGAGGGGGAGGGAGTTGAGTCCATTATTTGAATGGACATTAACTTGGCGACTGTATTTCTCTTAAGTATTAATTGTGTGCATGTACAGTGACCCCTCGGTTAACGAACTCAATCCGTTCCAGAAGGTCGTTCGTTAACCGAAACCATTGTTTCAATGGGTTTTTGGGTAATTGGTTCCAGCTCACCGAAAATTTCCTAAATTCAACAAAAATGGTAGAAAAGTTCACTTACTTTGAGGTGTGTATGTAGAAGGCTTCTGGATGATGATGATGATGATGATGGGAATTAGAATGGGGGTGGAGGAGAAGGAAGAAGAGAAGGCATTGGGGTGGAAGAGAAGTCACCCCATGGCACCATTTCACCCATAAAATTTTAGTTCTCTTGGTGTAATTCAAGATTATTTTCTTTAAATCAACACTGCACTGCATTATATATTGTCAATATGTAAAATATATTTCAAAATGACCAATAATTTGCTTGGAATCACAGAAAAAAAGCGTTTAGTTGAAGAGAGTCTCAAGCAAGATATTATCTCCAGTGAAAACAGAGAGAGACTAACGCCTGTTTGCTGTGTTAAGAGGCTGGATGCCGCGCATTAAACTAGTCACTTTACCTTCAATTATGTTCAATAATTGTTAAAATGACTAAAAAATTGAATATTAAACTTTTAAAATTATTGAATAGTATAAACTTCTTGATATTTACTAAAATAGTAAGGAATTTAAGCCCTAGAACCGGACTGATACTAAAGCTGGTTGCCCGGTCAGTGCAAGCGAAAACATGTTGAGGTCAGTTCGTAAGAAATTCGTTAACCGAATTTTTGTTCGTTAACCGAATTGAAGATCCATATGGAAGGCAGTTCGTTAACCGAAATTTCGTTAACCGAGGCGTTCGTTAAACGAGGGGTCACTGTACCATCATAAAATTAAGATGTTATTTTTACTAGAACATAGGTATTGTGTTGGAAAAAGTGGAGTTTGGGGTCAGCTGGTCTCTATTTCATTTAATCCCATATGTTATGTTATTCAATTTACGTGTTTCTCACTTTCCGCGGTACCCTGTGGGTTACATTAACCGCGTAAAGTGAGGGTTGACTGTACAGTATTATCCACATTCCATACTTTACGTGCTCAGTGTATTCCACATGTCAGTTGCAACTTAGCTTTGAAAAAATAAACATAAACCACCAACATGAAAAAGATTTAAATTGATGGTAGTTACTTATTTTTGCACTTTCTAGTCCAGGATATTGAGACTACTCCTGGTGTGATACTGGGTTAAGGAGAAGGTAAGTAGTACTGGTATCCCCATGTTACGGAAACTCAGGTTGCGGAAATTCGTCCATACGGAATTAATAAATTATTACCACTAAATTTAGGATATGGCCTGTAAATTCGACCTTACAGAAATGGGATAAATATTCAAAATTTTCAACACAAAAATTGCGATACAGCAGTCGTGAAGTTTTGCGAGATAGGGACCGAAAATGTTCACTAAGCATCAATTCATGAAGCACCGTGATATTGATTTATATGTAAATAAGAGGTTAGGGACCAGAGGCCCAAAAAAACACACAATATCACAAAATTTTATTCTGAAATAAAAAATGTAATATCTACACTACAGTCAGGTACAGGGTACTGCATAACTCCAGTGCCCCACACTGTGACTGTGTCCAGTGTCCACCTGACTCAACACTGCTCAAGTGTGCCGGTAATCTGTATGAATGAGACATCATAGAAATAGCTTTATTGTTTTTTTTCCTTTTCACTAGACACAATTCATCATTTTTATTTTATTAATTTGACATCATACTTTATTTGGAGAATTTTTAACGTGCCTGAATCTGTGCGAATGACAGAAAGTAAAAGTTACTTTAATGTTTTTTTGTATCAATGTATACATTGGTCCCTCGGTTAACGAGCATAATTCGTTCCTGCAGGTTGCTCATTAACCGAAAAACTCGTTAACCGAAACCATTGTTTCAATGAGTTTTTGGGTAATTGGTTCCAGCTCACCAAAAATTGCCTAAATTCAACAAAAAAAGTAGAAAAGTACACATACTTTGAGGTGTGTATGTATAAGGCTCCTGGATGATGATGATGATGATGATGATGATGATGATGATGATGATGGGAATTAGAATGAGGGTGGAGGAGAAGAGAAGGCATTGGGGTGGCAGGGAAGTCACCCCATGGTGCCATTTCACCCATAAAATTTTAGTTCTCTTGGTGTAATTCAAGATTATTTTCTTTAAATCAGCACTGCACTGCATTATATATTGTCAATATGTAAAATAAATTTAAAAATGACCAATAATTTGCCTGCAAACACAGAAAAGAAGCATTTAGTTGAAGAGAGTCTCAAGCAAGATGTTACCTCCACTGAAAAGACAGAGAGACTGGCGCCTGTTTGGTGTGTTGCCAGGCTGGCTGGCGTGCATGAAACTAGTTTCCTTACCTTCAATTATGTTCAATAATTGTTAAAATGACTAAAAAATTTAATATTAAACTTTTAAAATTATTGAATAGTATAAACTTCTTGATATTTACTAAAATAGTAAGGAATTTAAGCCCTGAAACCAATTACTGTATTGGCAGACTAATACTACAGCTGGTGCACCTCCAAATGCAAGCGAAAACATGTTGAGGTGGCTCGTAAAAAACTCGTTGATCGAGGGATTGCTCGTTAACAGAAGTTAAGAATTTATGGAAGGTAAATCGTTAACCGAAATCTTGTTAACCGAGGCGCTCGTTAACCGAGGGATCACTGTACCACAGATTTTCTTTTTTTTTTCACTTCACTTCACTATTCATATTCACTTAACACTTCATTTTATACATGTATGAAGAATTTCTAAAATAACATAGTGGGGTGAAGCTTCCTAATGCTCCTCTGTTAAGAGAATTGCTAACTCCTCCTCCTCCCTCCATTCAGTCTCCACCTCCTCCTCTCTGTCCGCTGTTGCCACCTCCTCCCACAATATCTCTGACACAGCTGCTGGACTAGGTCCTGGTTTCACATCTGTATGAATGAAACAGCACAGACAAAAATCATTATATTTTTCTTTCCATAATCACAAAATAGATTTAGGGTCTTAGTGTTTGGAGAATTTTAAACTCACCTGAAAAAAACTAATGATGATCTGAAATAGTCCATGATTGACTTCTGTTTCTGAGCCATCTGGCATTGGTGGAGAAGCCTCTCATAGTGGCATGTGATGTGCCACATCACCTCAGCCATCTCCATGCTGCTTTCCATGTTTGGATCCTTGCAGAATATGTTATTCTACAACTTAGTTTTTGTTTTATTAGAATCGGCCCATAAATAGTCGAGCCTTAGGGAGTTGAAGGTTAGAAAAATTTGTTTCGAGATATGGGCCGATAGGGTGGCACGAGAGCAATAGACGGTCGAACTGCTGTGTACAAGACTCTGGTTCTGCAACTAGCTAGCTGAGAAAGGTGCCAGATACTGATTTTTACCAAGTGATTGGTATTATTTTACACCAAAATATTATTATAAATACTTTTCTACAGCTTTTGCTACATAAACAGAAGGGCCTTCTAAATGAAGGGAGGTAGAACAATCATGCATAGCTACATAAATATGAATTTCGCAATCAAAATATGTCAGCAGATAGCTATAGGCAACAGCTTTCCTCAGGAATTTTTCTGAATTTTTTGTAATTTTCCAATTTTCATTGTCTTTTCAGCTGAATGCTCTCCTTAATAAATTCCACTAATTACACCTTCTTACGCTCAGCAGCGTTGTGATTGGCAGACGTGGCTTCCCCTGTAAGCATCACATTCCTCAGGCCAACGCACTAGATGTAGTTATGTACCCATCCCTGGCTAGCAGTGAATTTCATATCACTAATTTCCATCTTTTCTTTCTGTACTATCTTTTCTTGTATTTCTATGGCTTTATTTTTTATTATCGGGCCATTTTGCAGAAATTGTTGAACCTGCATTTCTTTCACCCACACTGTTAATCCTTCCTCTATTTTCTCATACATCGGAAGTCTGAGATGCAGTGTCATCTTAGAAATTGTGGGGCACTGAATAAGCTATTCTCATTACAGTTGCCT